CCCCAAACCAACCTTCAACCTACCCCAGCCAACCACCAAACCACCCACAACCCACCCCCAATCACCTACCAACATCCCAGCCCACATTGCTGTTCGGTGGATGCTCTGGTGTGGTTTGCTCCTTCTTTTCTACCAAACGTCTATCGTCCTGATCTCTCCTCCTTCTTTTTTATTATGTTTGTTACTCGCTTGTAACACCTCTAATCTTCGGCACTTAATATGACCTTATTGTGCTGAAAGTGCCGTAATACTCTTTCTAAAGGTAATCCCAATTCACCCCCAACCCAACCCACCCCCATCCCCCAATCTTCAACCCTCTTACTAAACCGAAAACTAAAACAGACAACAGAAAAATTAGTTTATTAGTGCGTGTTATCTAATGCTGATTTAAAAAAAAAACCTTTTAGGTTTTATAAGCAGCAGAACAAAAGCAATGTTCTGAAAACATTTCGATCCATCTTAATGAAATCAGAAATACAAGTTTGCATATTTAATAGATAGTATGTTGTGGCCTGGTTTTTTTTTTTAATTTGAGATAAACAAAACAATGAAAAAATCAGTATGAACAACGATGTTACGCCCCGACTAATTTTCATTTAGACGTAGGCACTGAACAACTATATAAAAAAAAAAAAAACGCTAAAAGCTTAATTATGAAGGATATGATGTCGTACGACACGAGGCGACCCCGGTAACCTGAAATGTAAATATGTCACTCCGGACAGATACCGATCTTTTCCGACAGACTAGCAAACAGAACGATAAACTCGAAGAAAAAAAAAGAGAAATAGATGAATTAATTAATAAGACGTACACTTAAATAGAAAAGAGGATGGGGATGGCAGTTGAAGTATGGCAGGATGTTAGATTGGTGTATAAGTGTGTGTGTGTGTGTGTGTGTGTGTGTGTGTGTGTGTGTGTGTGTGTGTGTGTGTGTATGTGTGTGTGTCTATGTGTGTGTCTGTGTGTGTGATGTGTATATATGAGGTGTGTCTGTGTGAGTGTGTGAGTCTGTGTGGGTGTATGATGTGTCTGAGTGTGTGTGTGTGTGTGTGTGTGTGTGTGTGTGTCTGATGTGTGTGTCTGATGTGTGTGTGTGATGTGTGTGTGTGTGTGTGTGTGTGTATGTGTGTGTATGTTTGTGTGTGTCTGTGTGTGTGATGTGTATATATGAGGTGTGTCTGTGTGAGTGTGTGAGTTTGTGTGAGCCTGTGTGTGTCTATGTGTGTCTGTGTGGGTGTATGATGTGTCTTGTCTGAGTGTGTGTGTGTATATGATGTGTGTGTGTGTGTGTGTGTGTGTGTGTGTGTGTTTGTGTGTGTGTGTGTGTGTATATATGATGTGTGTTGTGTGTTTGCAGGTACTGACAGCTCTGGTTGTGTGTACATGGTGTGTGTGTGTGTGTGTGTGTGTGTGTGTGTATATATGATGTGTGTCGTGTGTTTGCAGGTACTGACAGCTCTGGTTGTGTGTACATGATGTGTGTTGTGTGTTTGCAGGTACTGACAGCTCTGGTTGTGTGTACATGGTGTGTGTGTGTGTGTGTGTGTGTATATATGATGTGTGTTGTGTGTTTGCAGGTACTGACAGCTCTGGTTGTGTGTACATGGTGTGTGTGTGTGTGTGTGTGTGTGTGTGTGTGTGTGTGTATATATGATGTGTGTTGTGTGTTTGCAGGTACTGACAGCTCTGGTTGTGTG